AAGATATACTTTTTGAGCTGTTCTCTTCAGAGATAAAATTTCAAACTGTTGAGGAAAATATTCAACAGACAAGTGCTGGGCATCTACCCTATGCCTGACCTTAAACTGGAAGCTAGAGGCAAATAAAACTCACTCTCTTTCTCAGGGATCTCTGTCTAGGCAGATGAGAAGATGAGTGAATTCTGATAACCGGGTGACACATGTATCCTTGGGGTGAGTTTAGGGGGGTATGGGAACACAAAGGAAATGCTTAATCTGACTTCTGATCTGAATTTTGAAGGCAGAATAGGTAGGAGGCAAAACCAAGAGAACAAAGGTGGTGAGTCAAGGAATAATGCAACACTGGGTCCTCAACATTGCTTTCAGGCACTAGCAGAATATGCAGGTGACAAGAAGCAGACATCCAGAGAAAAATCTACAGAGGCCATAATTCAGAAGCCCAAAGGCCATAGGAAGGAGTATGGACTTTGTTCTGAAGCCAAGGCAGGGCCACAGGAGATTTCCTAGCAGAGAAGTAACACAATGAGATATATTCCTTCTAGAAAGATCTTCTCCTGGGAGGAGAAGTAGAGACAAGTGAGAACTTGAAGTGAGATGAGAAGCCCAAACTGCAGGGGATGCTGTTAGACAAAGACAAGAAGCAAGGATGGGATGGGAGGAACAAATTTGAAGAAGACATAAAGAGGGTAGAATCAACAGGCCTCACCATCATATTGAGAGAGCAAGGCAGAATCTGACCATTGTGGCTTCTAACCAAATACTCTGAGGATGAGCAGAAGCACTGCCCAGGTTTTCCAAGCCCAGGTAAATGTGTGAACTGTGAACCAGGTACCTGCCTCAGCAAAAGCTGACACAGAGGGTCTAGCAACAGGGATGAAGAAACCAGGAATACCTGACTGACGGCAGGCAGAAGGCAGGCCTTCCTCTCACCATGAAGATTCTCAAGTGCCCTAGATTCCCCCCTTGTGTGCCTGGTTTACCCTGGGCTCTATAACTACTGAAAAACAACAGGATATATTCATGGATGAGCTGTCTCATCATTCCAGTGACAAATGGACTTGAATGATTTAGAGCTAGAATATTCTTTTCTCTATAATGGCTCCTGGAGTCGCCAGGAATAGTACATTTACTAAAATTAATGGCAAAACTTCATTTTTCTCTTTTCCAGGAAGCAAAGTTCCATTGGTAGGGTAACTGATCCTGATCTGGATGTGCCAGTGAGCCAGCTGGGGTATAAATCATCCACATGCAACAACTCACAGCCCTTTAAACCAACACCAACAGTGACAAATGGTGCAGGCTGGGGACAGGCAGAAAGGAATGAAGACGGGAGATCCATCAACTTCCTTCTTGCATCTCCCAGAGGGCCACAGCCTCCTTCTGCCTCCCACAGTGAAGCCGTATCTCAGCGAGGTCATGTTGAAAAGGCAGCAGGATGGCACTGTGACAGCTCTAGTGTTGGACACACAAGGTCGCCAATCTCAGCTCTGCCACCCCTGTCCCTGCAGCCCTGGGCAACCTCGCACCTCTGCCCGCCTTACAGTTCCCTGCAGATGGTGATGGTCCCTGTCAGCATTAAGCATTAAAGATGACAACATCTGCCCTTGGACTGAGCACAGAACAATGCAATGTTTGAGGGAATAAATGAGTGAATGAATGAATGAATGAATATATGTGGGCATGCATGCTTGGACTGCAGAGTTGGGAAACTCCTATCCCTTTCAGGGAAATTTGAATTTTAAAAATGCAAGACAAAGAGGATAATCTTTTACCCTAGGAAATGGATTTTCAGTAGTGACAGTGGGCATGGGAGAAAGAATTGATGCCAATTGGCTAAGAATGCCCCAAATCACAGTGCTTGGCTGCCAGTTTGGCCCGCGAAAGCTCTGACCTCTCATCCTGAAGAAAACTCTGTATTTGTATAAAATACACTAGCAATGACCAGAGTTCTATTTTCCCATGGAATCATACATTTCCCACAAGTCCTGCTCCTCGGTAGAGAACCAGCACTTACCACCAACCTTGACCCATAGTAAAAACTACAGATACAACGTGTGTGTGTTACAGGTGGGATCCAAAACCTCCCACAGAGGTTCACTGTGTGGAATGCCGTTCCCAGGCTTGGGGGATTGACTGGATTATCAGGGCTCCAACCTCATTAGTGGATTAATCCACTGACAGATTCATAATGTGATGGCATTTTGGGAGGCAATGGAAACAGAAGGTGAGGCCTGGCTGAAGAGGATGGATCATGGGAGACTGTATCTGTTCCCTGGTCCCTTCCTCTCATGCCACCTCACCCTCTCTGCCCAAAGACACGGGACATTGCTGAGGGCAAATAGGTTGGTGAGTGTGGGACATCCAGTGCTAGGAAGAGGCTCATGGCCTGGCATTGTTCCTTCGAGCCTTGTTCTCCCCCCAGAAGCACCAAGGGAACCCCAAATGTGCTGCATGCCTTCACAATACCAGCCAGGTGGGAACATACCCTCCACTCTGGGAGTGAATTCCAGGGTGGCTTCCCATGAAATAGGTCCACTGGGACCTTCGAATAAAACTTTGTTTGGAAAGGAACTCTTTGTAGAGAGAACTAAAATAAGGACCTCAAGATGAGTTCCACCTCAATTTAGGGTGGCTCCTAAATCCAATGCCAGTTACCCTTCTAAGCAAAAGACAGAAGAGTATTTGAGACACACATACTCAGAGAAGAAGGGAAGATGGAGGCAGAGACTGGAGCCATGCTGCCATAAGCCAGAAATGCCTGCAGCCATCAGGAGCTGAAGGAGGCAAGGAATGGGTTAGAGCCTTGGAGTAAGACTGCTCTGCCAACTCCTTGTCTTCAGAACCCTGATCTTCATGGCTGTGCGACAACACATCTATGCTATCCAGTCTATGGCCACTCATTGTGGCACCCATGGGAAACCAATCATAGACAAACAAAATAAAAAGACAAGGTTAGCCTAGACAATCTTATACAGATTCTTACAATGAGAAAAAAAAGATGCCCTAACTTCAGCATACATGCAAGCTTTGTGTGTTATGTACTGTTTCATATTATTTCTACTGTGAATCACATGGGTGGCAGTACACAGTCCCACGTCATTTCACTGCACTTTTCTTTATTGCTATTCACAGATATTATACTAGCTGCAAACTGAAGGTTTGTGATGACTTTGTGTGGGGCATCTTATCAGTCCATGTTTCCAACAACTCAGATGACCTTTAGCATTCATTTGCAATCAAGTATTTTTAAATTAAACCATGTACATTGTTTGTTAAATACACAATGTTGTCGCACATTTAATATACTATAATACAGTGAAACATAACTTTTAAATTCAGTGGGACACCAAAAAAATCTGTCTGACTCTCTTCGTTGTAATAGTCACTTTATTGCAGTGGTATGAATCCAAATCCAGAACATCTTCAAGATGAGCCTGAACAATCTTTTTGGCACTTTAAGGCCTTTAAAAATCTGAATATGACTCCAGGAATGCAGCAAGGGAAAAGAAAATAGGGAAAGAGGGAAGTCAGAGAGGAAGGAAGAAAGGAAAACAGAAAGTGAGGGAGAGAGAAAAGCACTATTTGATATAGCCAGAGTGCCTGTGTGTCTGGCCAGTTGAAGAAGATGTCAGAGGAAAAAGGCTGGGATGTCTTCTCTCCTCCCAGTCAGAGCCTGAAGGCTCGGCAGCATGAGAAGCAGGCTGTCAGTGAGGAAGTCAGCCTGTCAACCGGAGGACAGAACTTTTGTCTCTCCCAGGGCCAGGGTAGAGGAGCTGGCAGCCAGGGGACCTGAACTTTGCCTGGGAACCTCAGTCTCTGCCTGGCACCTCTCCAGCCTTCTGTCATGCTGAAGAAGAGCCAGGCACCCGGATTGTCCAGGGAAAAGCTAATGGGGTGACTGTGGCTACGGGATACAGTGGCCCTCAAAAGCTATTTGCCACAGGAGGACAAGTTGATGCAACCTGTTGCAATGACTGTACTTTAGAGGCCTCTGGGCCAACCCTGGCATGCTACACATTGTGAAGGCCCTATGGTACAGGGCAAAGGAGACTTCAGAGGCCTCACAGGTCACAGATTCAGAAATCTGGAGCCTTGGGATATCTGCAATCTCTGAAGGAAGCTGTTCTTAGAATGTAGCATAAGAAACAAAGTTTAAAATGTTCCTCAGACCACACCACAGGCAAGGCACAATTTAGTGGCTAAAATCAGACTACAGAGTTGGGCAGACCTGTGTTTAAATTCATAGTCATGTGTGCCCCTGGGCAAGTGAATGCATCACTCTGAGCCTCAGTTAGGCAAGTCAACCTCCCCGTGCCTCAGTTTCCTCATCTTCACAATGAACAACATAAGAGCAGCAACCTCACAGTTCTGATAGGAAGACTTAAACAAAAAATGTTTCACCCAGAACTTGACACACAGGAAACCTTTAATACACAGTGGCTTTTACCCTTATCATTTTTCTCTTTCATGTTTGTTGTTACTGTTAATAGGCCAGAAATAGTTCCACATTTACCACACGTGCCTTAGACTAGATATCTCACTTCTTTGAGGGCTCAGTTTCCTCATCCGTAAGCTGGGAGTAAAAATTCTTATTTGCAGAGTTGTGATGGAGATTCTAGGACAGGACGATGCTAAGACTGTGCAAGGCAGACATTCAGTACACATCGGTTCCCTCCTTTTTGCATGAGGGTTCCCTGCCCTTGGAATGGAATGTAAGTCAGGAGAAGTCTGAGGTCTAAAATATCCACATGCTCAGCACCCAGGCAGCAGCAGTGAATGCCCCTGGTCCACTTTGCTCCCAGTGCTGGATGTGCAGCCCATGACCTTGTCGTTGCACAGCCCAATTCCCTCAGGTTTCTCCCTGCATCTTGCCCATGCCACAGCCCCAACAGGCAAGACATTGAGTTTCCCATTCAGAAGTCCTCCCCTGGGCTGTGCTGAGGGCTCCATCACAGCCCAGACCTGCAATCACTAAAAGCCAGCTTGGGGACAGGACTCACCAGCTCCATGCACCGCCGGCTGGCCTCTGCCTCGCGCTGCAGCAGCTCCTCCATGTCTACTTTCAGCTCCTCCAGGCGCCGCTGGTAATACTGGCTGCTCTCTCTCTGCTGGGACTCTGATGCCACTGCCTGTGACAGCTCCTCACCCATCTTAATCAGGCTGTCCCGAAGCCGGATCACCAGGACCTGCAAGGGGTGGAGCACATCCCTGAGAGGCCAGCCAGGGTCCAGGAAGAGAATCCTCTGCTGAGTCTCTGCATGTTTGCATACAGTAATTGGGCTAAAAATTCCAATTCCTGCTATCAAAATGAATTGACTTTGAAGATAGAAAAAAAAAAATGCTAACTGCTACTTTAAGAGGCAGTAGAATACGAGAACCCTAACTCAAGATACTCTGGGTTCAAATCCCACCTCTACCTCTTCCTGGCTGTGTGACCTTGAGCAGTTAGTAAACCTTCCTGAGATAAAGATGATGATTGGATCTGTGTGCAGCAAGGATACTGCCCAGGCCTACCCAATATGCTAGAGGACTTGGTGGATAAAGGCTGGGAATTGTTAATATTTACAGCAACCCCATCCATCCTGAGGTCTGGCAGATACACTGTGCCCAAGAGAAAGAACTATGCTGGGGGTTAGAACTACTTTGCAGTGTGATTTTGGTTTCTAGATTTATAAAGTGAGTGGCTTTGATCAGATCACCTGTCATGAGCCTCAGTCCTAATAGTTTATGGTATTTTTCCTATTAAGGGAACAAAAATCCACGAGGACACAATGAAACAACAGAGAGAAGGTGCACTGGGCATCACAGTGCTAAAGAAAGAAAACCCAAGGGCTGTTCTGCAGAATTCATTAGGCCACCAACAGGCCTAGAACCAATCGACCCTGATGCACAAACACTCCAGTGTTGACAGAAGAGAGGCCCGCATGAATATTTCAAGTCTGTGCTAACTCTGAGCTCCTGTCTAGAGCCATGGACAAGGGAAGAAGCAGACTACAGATCAGACACTGAGTAATATCCTAAAGGCAGGCTTACTCTTCGGGTCCTCTTCCCCTTCCAAAGGGAGTCGAGCATCAATTTCAAAACACAGCAAAGGGGCAGGAGGAAGAAGAGTGATTCACAAACCGTGTCCTCAAGGTACCCTATCTCTCTACCCCAGGGACCTGGGGTTCAGTGAATTCAAATAATGGTGGCAGAGAGGAAAGTTGTAGATAGACTATTTCAATTTCATGTTATATTAATTTTCCTTTCTTCTCTGAAAGTCACTTGACCCCTCTGAGGTCACTTTTGTCCTTTATTAGATGAGGCCTGTCCTACCTAACCTCCAGGGCTTTATTCAACATCAAGTGGATGGCCTGATGGGAGAGGCTCTTGATAATTTGACTTTGACAATAGCAATGTATTCTGTAAATGTCCCATGACCTTGGCCAGCAAAGCTGAAGAGGTGAATAAACACCTGGGATCCCAGTGCAAGGTCAAGTGTAAATGTAATCAGTGAAGCCTAACTCACCCCATCAAGGGCTTATCTGTCCTTCAGGGTCCAGCATTAAAGGCTTCTTCTCCTGGAAACCTTTCTACCTCCTCAGCCTCAGAAGGACCTCTGTCCTCTGAACCCCACAGCCTCCTCTTCGGACTGTGGGTATTTGTGCACATCCTCATCAGAGCTCTATGCATTATGCATTTATCTTCCAGGCACCTGACATAGGGTTTAGCACACACGAGGTGAAAAACAAATTTCTGTTCAAAATGAGTGCTGGGCAACTAAGTGGATGAGTGGAGGGGTGGAGATGGGAAGAACTGGACAAAGGATTGGCAAACAGAGGGGTCTGGGTCTGAATAAAAGAGAAGAAAAAAATGGAGGGAGTGTGGAGGAGGAAAAATGGAAGGGGAGATAGACTCATGGAGTAATGACTGATGGTGGATGAGGTGAACAGAGATGGATGGATGAATGGATAGGCTGTTTGTGGAATGTGCAGTGGAAACAGGAAGAAAGGAAAGGGGAAGGGAGGAGAGGAAGAACAGGAGATAGATGTGCACTCTTTTTCCTCAAAAAGCATTTGAGTTGACAGATGGTGGGTGGAAGGCTGGATAGAGCTGAAAGCAAGCCTCCCGCTCCAGGCCCAAGCCAGGTTTAGATGCCACTGAGTACCTCTAATCTCTTAATCTGCACTTTCTGGAACTCTGTCTTGTTCTCCAGGTCACAGATGACTGCCTCCTGCCTGCTGACAATAGCCCGGTCCACGGTGGACTGCTCCAGGTACTCGATGCGCATCTGAGCCACCTGCAGCTGAGGGCACACAGAGAAGAGTCCCAGGACAGAGGCACACACAGGTCCCAGCCCCAAGGCCCACTCACATTGTCTCCTTCTCTGCTCAAGTACTACACACTGAATGTCTGCACATGAGAACTTCTGGGGCCCCAACTGAGGATCCCACTGGACTCTCACACTGGATGCCACTCCTGGTGGCAGGTGCTTAGAGGTGATGTTTCCTATGCCTTCTGAATCCAAAGGGGCTTTTACTCATCATTTCTCTTACCTCTGTCCCTGCTGTGATAAAAGAGCAAAGCTAACCTGTGAGCAGCAAAGGTCCAGCAGCAAAAGCCACAGGCCAGGGTGACTCAGGAGCCAAGCACAGGACCTGCCCACTGCTTGGCAGCTAGACCAGCTTGGGTATGCAGGCTCTCTTCCCTTAGCCTCAGATCCTTGTTTCCACTGTGTGGACTGAAGGAGTTCAGCTCCTGGCACATCATGAACACCCAACAACGGCCAGTGCTGCTATTATTTTTGTCATGCTTGTTGCTGCTCAGTTTCCATGGATATTTGTGTGAGAATTAGTCACTCTGACAGTCACTCTAAGCATGCACATATGACAGTTCTAGAAGGACTTATATAATACGAGTTTACCAGGTAATGACAGAAAGCCAGGGAGATTCAGAGACATCATGACTTCAAAGCAAGATGTCCCAAAGGGCCAAGATCCTGTAGGCATAGACCAGTCCCTTCTCAGAGGGAGAAAAGCCTGCACTAGTTAGTGCTGAGTGTCATTTGCATATGGGGCAGAAACAGGCAAGAGGGACTCTCCGTGTGTGTGTGTGTGTGTGTGTGTACATATGTGTGTTCACCTTGGCACACACTAGTTATTGAGTGAGTGAGTGATAGTCCAAGGGTCCCAGGGAGCCCTTCCTTTCTTCCCCCATGGTACAGCAGCTCTGAGCATATACTTGCTCTTGAAGCTTGTGCTTTTCCTTCTTTGCTTCCTCCAGCTGCAACTGTAGCTCTTGGATCTGTCCAATGTCAGCTGCAGACTGGTGAGACAAAAAAAAAAAAATCACTGCAAGACCATAGACTTTGCTAGGATAAGAGTCCCTTCTCCCCCTCCTAAAGATGTCTATGACTCTCAGAGCTTCCATGGCGATGGCTGTACTCAAACAATACCTCTCACACCCTCCCAACCTCCTCCATCTCAGGGTTGGCTGAGTCACTTCAATTACATCAGCCTGTAGCCTGGTCCACTTCCCAGAACCTTATGATACACCTTGGAGAGCCCAGACTGAGATGGGCTGGCCACAATACAAAGGCCAAATTCCAAGGGAGAGCTGCTCTATTGCCAGGTGATGAAGTCCTAGACCTGGACACTGGCCATAGCAAGCCAAAGAACCTCTCTGTGGCCCAGTCTCCCCATCTATAAAATGGGCTGAGAATGTTTGCTCGGTCACTGTCCACAGGGTTTGTTCAGAGATTCCAGCAGGTGATGGAGAGTAAAGATCCTACAAAAAGGTAGAGCCAATGACTGAGCTTGATTATCTGTGAAGAGAAGAATTCCAAAGAACAAGATGGTCTCTCCTTTTCCTACTTTCCACATGTTTTTATTAAATTTTTATAATGGACATATGTACACATTGGTTTTATAGCTGAACAAATAAACTTCTATTTTGGACAAAAATAAGTGATTCACCAATGCAAAAGGTAACATGAGCTCTTTTGTGCTAGTCGTTACAATGGTAGTGACATCACTGAATACTTTTGTTATGAAGGTCCCTTGTTTAGCAGAAGCACCTTCAGCTGGAATCTCTGTTGGCCGTGTTGGAGTCTGGGGGCATTTACCCCAGATATCCTCTGGGGGCAATGTGGAAGGCACTCATGGTTCAGTTTGCAAGTCCCTTCTCTCCTCTGGGTGATAATGTGATAGGTCTGCCCAGTCCATGGACCCTGAACTACATGAGGTCATGAATGGAAAGGGGATGGGCAACCAACCACCACAGCATACTTGGCCCTCCTCACATATGTGTGGTCCCCCACACATAGGAAGTCTTCAGCAAATAGGGGGTGGATAGACAGAGTAATAGATGGACAGATGAATAAATGTTTAGATAATAAATGAATAAATGAGTGGAAGGATGGATGAATGAAAGGATAGATGGAAAGATGGATAGAAAATGAATAAGTGGGTAGAAGGATAGACGAATGAAAGGTTGGGTGGATAGATGATAGGTGAATGAATGAACAATGAATGAATGGGCAAGTGAGTAGATGTATGAATGAATGAAAGAATGGATGGATGGATGATGAATGAATGAGTAAATCGGTAGAAGGATGGATGAGTGAAAGGATGAATGGAAGGATAATGAATGAAGAAGTAGATGGAAGTATGGACAAATAGATGAACAGAAGGATGGATGAATGAGTGGATAGATGGATGAATAAATGGGTGGGAGGATAGATGAATGAAAGGATAAAAGGATGGATGGATAGATGAATGAAAGGATAAAAGGATGGATGGATGGATAGATAGGTAAAATGATAGGAATTGGAATAGGTGGGTAAATAGATGGATGGGTGGGTAGATAGATGGATAAATTAGTGGTCTGGTAATTTAATGGATGAATTGATGAGCAGATAGATACTGGATGGGCAAATAGATGTATGAATAAATCAAACTTTTTTTCTGGATGGAGAAGTTCTCCAGAGATGCACCCACTATCTTGAAGTGACACTCTCCTCTCTTAGGGCCACAGGAATTTCTAATTCCTATCTGTCTATATGGCGTGCATTCCTCCAAGGTCCTAAGACCAGGAAGTAGTCCAAGTACTTCACCTCTCCACATTCCTGTCACCCTACCCCCAAGAAGCCCACTCTTCACCTGGGCAATAAGGTCCTTGTGCTTCTGCATGAGGTCATTCAGGTCATCCTGGTCCTCATCGATGTGCTTCAGGAGGTCTGCCCGCTCAAACTGCAGTCGGTACAGCTGCTCATCCACCTGGCGGGAGGCAGGCCAGGAACAGGGGTGAGGTCAAAAGGTGGCAAGTAGGAGGAGACCTGGGGTCCTTGGCTATGGATGTGTGAGGTGAGTGACTATCTATGGGTAAGGCTGCAGTGGGTGACAATGCACGTGCTGCTGCTGCTGCTGCTGGTGTGTGTGTGTGCGCTAGGTGTGCATATGACTGTGAATGCAGTGGGGGGTGGATTTGTTATTCATGTAAGCCTCCTATGAGAATCCATGTAGCAAGCACATTTTAAATACACATGGCACAGATATGGAAGTGCAAACCTGTAATCTCCCTGAGAACAAGGACTTGGTTCTGCTCACAGCTGTACCCCCAGCACTAAGCACTGGGCTGGTACTATAGCAAATGCTTGATAAATGTCTGTTAGGTGGGTGGCCAAATCTGCTTGGATATTTTACCTATGAGGGCATGTGAGTCTGGTGATTTTGTATATGTGTTGGTACAGTTCTGTGTGAGTGCATGAGTGTGTGTGTGTGTGTGTGTGTGTGTGTGTGTGTGTGTGAATGTTTGTGGGCAAGTTCCTCTTAATTTAGTGCAAACAAAATTTAGGATGAAAGGACCAGGAGGAATAATGAGATAAGCTTTTATTTATAAATCTGTAGCTCTACCTAAACTTTTGGGATTTTACATAGAATATAAATTTAAGCCAGTCATGTACACCCAGACAGGAGCACTGAAACCCATACCCAATATTCTTCCATGCTATAGACACATAATGTGTGTTCATTTGTACACATTCACCGAAGAGTACAAAGTGGGCCTATAATAAATGCCTGAGTCTCTTTACTGTCTAAATGGGCCCATGAGAGACACCCTTATCTTCTTATAGGAATAAGCCTACATAGCCCAACACTAAAGACCAAGTCCTCTGATGAAGATGAGCACACAGTAGGACTACAATAGCTACCTGGGAACCACTTACAGCAGTAAGCACAGTGGGTACACAATGAGCAGTCATGTTCCCATTTAGGGTGCTGAGCAACAACAGGCTCACACTGGATGCACCCTCACAGTACTGAGCACACAGTAGGTCTACAACAGGCTCCCTTGCTTACCTTTGCAGATGGTAGTATACAGCTGACCCTCGTATATGTCCTTGACCTCTATAATGCTCAGCTCACAGTAGGATCTCTGCACAGAGTGCTGAGTGCCCAATAGGTAAGTGCTCCTGTCACTCTTATAAAGCTAAGGTATAAATGGAGGTCTATACTCCAAGGTGGCACCCAACAGGTCCACAGTGAAGGTCTATTTCTCCAAGGGGGTTCCAATTACACCCACAGTAGATACTCTATGATCAAACACAACAGGTTCAAAATAATTGCCTCTGTCTCCCTCATAGTGCTAAGCACCCTGTAGGCCCACACTAGCACCCAGAGGCCCACAACATCTAGGCCTCCATGGCTGCAGGAAGGGACAGTACCAGGCTCTTGCTCCGGGTCATGTTCTCCAGCTCACTGTGCATGCTCTCCAGGTCCAGAGTCAGTGCCTTCTGGGTCTTCAGGGCATCTTCACACTTGGCCTCGCTCTGCTTCAGCTGGACCAGGCCATGGGGGACAAAGAAAGAGCTGAGTCCCTGAGGCTGCCTCCCTGAATGTCCCCTCAGCACAGCACAGCTCACTCCTCGTGGGAAACAGGGTAATGTACCTAGTCATCAGTGGACTACCAGGGGGAACTAGTGTATTTGCATCTCAGGTGGCCAGGCTCTGTGTCCACTCAAACATCACAGGCTCTGACACACAGCTATGTCATCTGCTGCAGCACTGGTGTTCCATGGTCCCACTCGGCATGCACTGCTGACTCCCCTTACAGCCAGGCACATGACACTCTGGGAATGATTGACCTGGGCCTGCCCTCCTGAGGGGACAGGCAGGGATAGGTCGTGACCACCTCTGGGGAGCACAGGGAAGAAGGGGCACACGGTGGCAGGAATGGGATGAGAATCCCAGGAGACTTCCTGGAGGAGGCATCTCGAAGGCTGGTGGGAGCCTGCCAAGTAGAAGTTTCTTAACCAGGACTCAGGGTTAAAAGCCAGTTGATAAACCTTTGAAATGCAAAATATTCTGCAAGTGAGCATTTTCCTAGGTTCACAGCTTTTACTAGACTCTGAAAGGCTAAGAGCCACCAACTTAAATCTCTCTACCATCTTCTTTCTCTTCTTGTGCCACCTGCACAAAATGAACCTCCTATCCTGGAAAGTGGGGCCAAGATAGGCACAATTACCTCAATGAGCAGCCCTGGAAGACAGCCATGCCCCACTGGAGAACCCCCACCTGTGCACAAACCTAAGCCCAGTCTGCAGCTGGCAGCTTCTTCTTAATTCCTGAAGTCAAGAACCTCCAAAGAGAAAGCACCTTAGAAATCACCTAAGGAAACACTCAGGGCTCAGAGAAGGGCAGCACCTTGTCTGAAGCCACACAGCTGCAAAGCAGAGATATGTTTCCCTGAAGAGCACACCTTCTAAAACACCAGGCCAGTCTTCAAAAGAGTTAATACTAGGGCTGCTGCTGATAGACAAAGGAAAAAGGCTTGTGGTTTCTCTTCTGTTCTTCCTGCCCAGTCTTCCTGGTGCACACCACAAACATCCTCACTTTACAGAAGAGGAAAATGAGGCAGGGAGCTAGGAGGAGGCTAGCATGCAGATGGCACTGGGATCGCTGGTGTCTGAGGCTCTCTGACTCTGGGAGTATTCACACACTGGTGCTTTTGCCCAGCTTGCCCCGCTGCCAGGGGCCGAACACAGCTGCCTTTCTGAGCCCCTGAGAACAGTGTGCTTCTACAGGTAGGTGCAGTACAGGGCCAGGAAAGGAAGGCTTGGTGGCTCATCTCCCATGGTGACTGGGGGGGACTGAGAACAGTGAGGGAAATGATGCAAAGCATGGGGAGGTGACCAGCATAGTTAAAGGTTAATCAATGGCAGAAAAGAGATGTTAGATGTGAGGTGAGCTTCCAGCAGCTAAGTCCAGAGCCTCTGGCCAGCTGAGAAGTAGGCAGGCAGGCAGGGCAAAGCCAACCCCTCCTTGAAGTCGGGGCCTCAAAAAGGGGAAACATTTTAGCTAAGACTTAAAAGATGCAAAAGAGACAGCTTTGTACAGATTTAGGAGAAACAGGGTCCTGGGTAGAGGCAGTGACAAGTACAAAGACCCCGAGGCAGAGATAGAAATAAATGAAGTACTGTATGAAAGCAGAAAGACTGCCAGTATAGCTGGGCTACTATGCAGAGAGGGAAAGGAGAGAGAATGGGGGTCACATCAGTGAAACTTGTGGGCTAAACCACAAAGCTTAGGCCATTTATTATTAGGTTATTTATTATTTCAATCTGTATGGAAACCATGGATGGTTTCTAAATAGGTGGGTGGCACGACCTCCCTTGGCTTTACTGGGGCAAGATGGGAAACAGGGTGGCCAGGGAGGACGCTGCTGTGGTCCTCCAGGAAGAGACAATGGAAATGCTCCAACCAGGCAGAAGCAGGAAGAAATGGAAATTTCCGCACTGTGGAGTATGCACAGAAGAGAGGTGAGGCAGGGAGAAGCAGATGGTCCATTAGGGGAGCTGATGTCACATTTAACAGAGGAGGGGCGGCATGATAGAGGAGGAGGAGGAGGAGGAGGAACAGGAGGGACAGCATCACGCAGGGCCCCACTGCCCGGCCAAGAAGGCCAGGCCAGAGGCAGAAGGCAAATGAGCAAGCACAAACACAGACAGAGCATAGGAAGTCAGCCCCTACCTGCAGGGTTCTTCCTGCACTGCAGGCAACACCATTGTGACCCTACAGATCCTCAGGCCACAGGGCATGGGTGGCTCTCTCTCCAGCCTGAGTTTACAAAAGGTCAATGGAGCACCATCCAGAAGGGCTCCTTCTCCCCAGGCTGAGATGAACAGGAGCACCGTCCCTATGGACAGTGGCTCACTTTTCTCTCAGCTCCTACCAGGCCGGAGCCAGAATTAGCTTGGCCTGGGTGATTTTGGCACTTATAGCTCTGCCCATTCCTATGTCTTGGGGATCACTCCCTAGGCACTGTGCATTCTCTGCTTGCTTCAACCCTGGGATCAGTAAGGAAGCAGAGGGTCACAGAGGGGAACACTTGCCCAATGTCACACAGCTGGCCAGCCTATCTGCTCCAAGTTGAGCCCAAGTACCTAACCACTGAGCTTCTCTGCCCTCAGGAAACCCTCTGGCTGGAAAGTCAGAAAGCATGGGTAGAACAGGAGAAAGGCTTGTCCCCCAGTGAGTTGCTGCTGCAATGGATGCCACTCGGCAAGCGTCCCACAGGCCTGGAGCAGGATGGGGTCTGCAGACTGAGAGAACTCAGCCTTTGAATAAACAGACTTAGTGGGCCCAGCAATCCTCCTCTAGGAGTCCCACATCCTTCCTGGAACTTCCCAGAGGTGAAAGAGCTCGCTCCACAGGGCGGGAAAGAAAGGCAACAGGCACAGGCACTTCTAGGTGCCAGTTCTGAGGCATGTGCCTTTATCCACAAGTCACTTAATCTTACTGGGCCTCCATGTCCTCATCTGGAAAATGGGGATGGTTACATCAAAGAATCTATCCAAGATATATGTGTAAAAACACTCTAAGTACAGAGCACAGTGCCTGCCACTGAGAAACACTACCAGATGCTGACAATCATTACTGTCACTGTTGTTGTGAGTCCCTTTCATGACCAGAAGAGCCTGGGAAGTTGATTTTTAGAAACAAAGAAAATGAAGCAGAGCCCAAAGAGGGCACAAGGCTAGGAAGATCATGAACGCTGGTAAGAACGACTTTGACGCTCTGGCTGACTCTGACAGACAGGGAGAGAGGTCGTGCAACCCAGAGGCATACAAGTCAAGGAGGTCCAGGTTTAATGGAATTCCAGCCCAAGGCCTCCACCGGGCAGGCTCAGGGATACTTCTGACAAGCCATCTTCATGCCAAGCTTTAAAAGTTTCAATTTATGACACTTTAGGGAGTAAGAAGAAATACAGGGCCATCTTGGGCTAATTCCCATTATGGATGACCTGGCGTAAGAATAACTCACTGCACATTATTTCCATATTGAGGCGTTTTGACTGATGTTTTTACGAAGTTGGCGGCATGTCACAGGAGGGCCAGCTCAGAGCCTTCTGTGGAGGAAAAACTGGCTTGACACTGCCCTGGAACCCTGGGAATACTTTGCCCAGGAGCCAGTGCTTCCTTGGAATGGGTCAATCTCCATCCCTGGCAGCCAGCCTGGCATCAAGGACCCTAGGTGATGGCTGACTTTTTGGTTTTGGGTCCCCATCACATCCCCTTGGAGGAAGTCTCTTGGGTTCATTCACAGAAGGGTGGAGATTTAGGGTGAAATTTCCACCTCTCCCCCCACCCAGCTGCAGGGCTGGCCTCACAGCAGATCCTGGACAGCACAATGGATCTGGTTTGCATTCAGAGACATCATGTTTTCCTTTCTCTTCCAAATTTCACTTGTTGCAGAATCATCATAATGGCACAAGTATGAGGGTGTGAACCCCCAAACACCTTCAATAATGGGAAGGCTCCCCTCCCTCTTGCCCATAGTCAGTCACTGTTTCCTTTGCTTGTGAAATCAGCCTCTGTCCCCAAAGCTCAAACTCTGAAGTATGGGCCCTGAAGAGGGATAAAGGGGGCCTGCAGTGCTGTCCCAGTCCCTGAGGACAAGGAGACAAGGGTCTCCATCTATGAAATGTACACACACCCACCCCAGTTCTCCCTGCACTATAGCTATGGGTTTGAACATGCTTCCCAACCTTGGGCATTAGGTAAGTATCCCTAAGCTTTGTAGCAGGGGGGTGTGGGGGGGTAATCTGCTGAGATCCTGACACTGCAGTGATTGTAGCAGAATGCTGCAGGTCCTGGAAGCCTGGAGTTCACAGGGCCAAGATGAGATTAGCACCACCTAGGATTAAATGTTGGTGGTGGGTGGTTTGCACTCTCCCATATGGCTCCTCAACTATGATGAGAGGGGACCTCGGACATCATCCAGAATTTCATGGTGGTTAGGAGCAATCCTGGGCTCAAGCAGAATTGAGTTCCTGTTCCAGATCCTTTATCTCTGATCCGGTGGCCTTGAGCAAGTTTCTCAGCCACTCTGAGCTTTGGTTTTCATCATACATAAAATGCGGGAGAAAATGTTTCTCATTCATTGAGCAGGACTGCAGGGTACAGTTGTGTAAGTTGTGGACCACACAAGTTGTGGGATGCCAAGCACATAGGTTACAAGGATGAGCTCTTACTCTGTGCCAGGTTCTGTTTTAAACACTTTGTATTTGAACCATTTCGACTCCACAGCTCTCTCAGTGACAAAAATCATTCCTGCTGCTCTAGTTGAGGAAACTGAAGACTGAAGAGGGTAAGTGACTTCTCAAAGTCATAGAAGTACTAAATGGCAGATGTATGAGATGGACCTGGGCAGTCTGATCACTGGGTTCCCACTCTGAGCCATTACACTGGGCTATCACCATAGATGCTCTGTAGCAGAAATCTACCACGGCATCTGCTCAGTCCCCTTTCCACAGCTGTTCATTCCCACACATCCAGGT